TTCTTTCATTTCAACTTCTGTTTTATTTGCATCCACCTCTTTTAACCAAGCCGCATCCTTGTTGTATTTCTTTGGGTTATCCCATATCTGCTTCCAGAACTGCACTGTTTCTTCCTTGTCAGGTACTGACTGATTCTTGCAGTTTCTCCATTGATGGATTGGTAGAAACGTTTCTGATTGGATTGAAATTGGAGGTTCTGCCTATAGTTTGCAATTCGAGCTTCATATCTACTGATTTTCCTGGCTATAGCTGTTATTTGTTGCTTTATTATTTCCAGTGCTTCCTTGATCTTCCTTGTTTCTAAGTGGTATTTCTTGATTAGGTATTCTTTGGTCTTCTTGTTCTTCAGCTTCTTTTCTTTCATCTGTTCTAGCTTGCTTGCATGTGATCTTAACTTGCTGATCTTATTTTCTAGTCTAACCTTCCATTTTTCTGGTGCACTGTTTGTTTGTTTTTCTTCTTTGTTGATTTTGCATCCCAGGTATTCTGTTATAACTGCAGCTGTGCTGTACATTAGTTGGTTTGTTTCTTGCAATGAATTGGTGCTTATACTTGATATTGCAATATTTGCATCTTTTAATGCTTGTGCTAGCTGTTTCTTTGGAACAAGCTTCAATGCAGGTAGCCTTATTCTGTTGTTTTTGTGCTGTTCTAGATGCTCAGTTATTCTTTGTTTCAATTCTTTTATTTCTTTAGTTAGAGGGTTTTGTTCTTCCTGAGGTAGAGGTGCCTGGTTTCCAAATGAGAACAGTTGTATATCTCTGCTAGATTCCTTCACTGCCAACTCCCCCTGGTTTGCCTCTACATTCTGAATTACTTCTGGTAAGGCTTTGATTTCTTTGCCCTGGGTAAACCTTTGCAGTTCGTCCAATTCTGTTTCTGTGAATATTTTATTTCGTGTTATAAATCGGCGTTGATCTGCTAGTCTCTGTTCTGTTATTTCTGATTCTGGATGTTGTTCTTTCCAGAACTGGTGCATTCGTTTTAGATATCCTCTTCTTGTTGGACTTGATCTGTAGTAACAGATCATTATTTCTTTGTTTTCCATCACTGTGTATCTGCGACGGGTAAACACCTTTTCTTCCAGTAGTTCTGCAGCTGCTGGCCCTGGTTGCTCAGCCAACAGTCCTGAGTCCTGTAACCCATTTTTCACCAGATATCCAGGAACTCCAATATCTAGTGCGGACCTTGTTAACCCGGGCGACGTCCGAGCCGGTATGGCATTCTGAAATTTACGTCTCACCATATTTTTTATGGGAGAGACACTCTTTGTCTGACTCCTCTGATGAGACCTGTCCAGTATGGTTGAACCTCTGGCATAGCTCTCATCTTCCTCAGAGTACACAAGCCCCACAACCACGTCAAGGTAGTGCCTCACTGGGGGATTATTATTATTATTATTATTATTATTATTGATCATCGCACAGTCAGCCAGATGTTCAGACTGGATTTGGCATTTTGTCTACCTATCGAGTCCTTACCCAGGACCTGGGATAGGCAGATGTGGATGTTTGATGGTATTACAGATATCGTCGCAGGATGGAAGCAGTTCCTAATAAGGCCGCCTTTTGCAATTGACTAATAGCGAATTTGTCAATGCCAATGGTGTTCAAGTGGTGCTCCAGTTGTTTTGGGATTGCACCCAAGGAGCCTATGACTATTGGTACTACCCTTGCTTGCTTTTGCCACAGTCTTTCTATTTCTATTTGTAGGTCTTTGTATTTTGTTATCTTCTCCAGTTCTTTCTCTTCTATTCTGCTATCTCCAGGCACTGCCACGTCCACTATCCAGACTTTTTTGTCTTTCTTATCGACAATTGTTAAGTCTGGGGTGTTATGTTGCAGGTGCTTGTCTGTTTGAATTCTGAAGTCCCAGAGCAGTTTAATTTTATCATTTTCTATGACTTTCTCTATTTTATGATCCCACCAGTTTTTGCTTACAGGCAAATGATATTTTTTGCAGATCTTCCAATGCACCATTGTTGCTACTTTGTCATGCCGCTGCTTGTAATCAGTCTGTGCAATCTTCTTGCAACAGCTTACCAAGTGGTCCACTGTTTCTTCAGCTTCTTTGCATAGGCGGCACTTACTGTCTGTTGCTGTCTTCTCAATTTTGACTTTGTATGCATTTGTCCTTAAGGCTTGGTCTTGTGCAGCCAGAATTAGTCCCTCGGTCTCTTTCTTCAATTTTCCTGCTCTTAGCCATTGCCAGGTTTTATTATTATCTGCTTTCCCAGCTATTTTTTTAATGTATTGGCCATGTAGTGCTTTGTCTTCCCATGCCTCTATTCTGTTCTTCATTTGGTCTTTCTTGTAGGCCAGTTTGGTCTCTCCAGTAGTTAGTAAGCCTTCCTGATATACTAATTTCAGTGCATCTTCATCATTGTTCTTCAGATATTCTTCCAAAGCCATTTTTTCTTCTTCAACCATCTGATGTACTTGTAGCATTCCACGCCCACCTATTTGCCTTGGTAGATAAAGTATGTCAATGTCACTGCGTGGATGAAGGGCATGATTCATTGTCATTATTTTATTATTATTATTATTTTTCCAGAAAATTATAGACAGGTTTCCTGAGCTGGGGAGGATATGCAAAGTAGGGTATGAGTGGAAATAAAGTTTATTTAACTTTTTCTCATCTTTAAATCCTAATAAAGGACCACAGAACAAGATTCATTGTCCTTTACCATTCAAATAAATAATGTTTGAAGTACAATGGACATGTTGGTAGATAAAATTGGCTCCTTGTATACCTGGACTTTTCTATTTTCTGTGAATCCAATATAGGTTATCCTTGAGTTACAACTGTAATGGAGCCTGCCTATTATGGTTGGAAATAGTGATGGCCATTAAGTGAGGTGACCTCACTTAACAACCTCACCCCCTGCTCTCCCTGAAGCAGCTGTTAAATGAACACACAGGTCATTAAGCACAGCACAAGGTGTATCAGGACTGTGGGAGAACCTGGGAGGCCTATGCAGGTTCTGACTCACCTGCCTCAGGCTTCCCAAAGCTACCCTTCCCCCTGTCACCCTATACTCTACTTCTCACCCCCAGGGTCCCTGCAGTCCATCAGTTTCCTTGCCACCCAGAGACGTAGGAGAGGCCAAGGAGAGAACAGGCCGTCTGCAGATTGCAAGTGTTCAGCTGCCTTCCCACACAGGGACTTGCAGGATTCAGCTTGCTCCGGGGCCCAGCAACATCCAACTTCATTTTTTGCAGGTTCTAAGAGGCTCCCAACCTAATACAAGATCAGCTTTGTTACTTCTTTCTTTGCTTTGTAACAAACACAATGCTATTCTGCAAAAGGTACTATTCTTGTGATACTGTAGAGGGCTCCATTTTCTAAGGAGTCTCCATTTGTTTGGTACAGGTTCACAAGAATAACACCTGCTTTGCCATGAGACTTTATAAGAATGCTGAGTGTTGCTGGGGCCTGGAACAGTTGAGTCCTCCAATTCCCTGAATGGGAAGGCAGCGGGAAGCTAATAAGCTTCAGACGATCTGATCTTTCCTTGCTCACTGAAGGATTGCAAACTCTGGCCAGCATGATTTCCCCTTCCTCACTGGATGGGAAGAAAGCTGGAGGATTGCAAGTTCTAGCTGATTTGCATGGGCTATAGCTGGCCCGATCTTCTTTGGGTGGATGAGTGGCTGCAAAGACATAGTGTGGCAGGATGGATGGGTTGGTGAGTGCTGCTGTATCCCTGTAGTTTGTTGTAATGACTGCAGGAGTGCTGTAGTGGCTGTATCTTTGCAACTGGGTCATAAGTAGCTTTTGGGAGGGTCTGATGTACTTTTGAATGGTTCAAGTATAACACCAGATTGAAGGCTGTTCTGACTGCCCACTTCCCTTTCTCCTCAGCTTTGATATACATATTTATTTCTATCAGAATAGTATAAGATTCTACACTAAAAATGTAGGCTGTTTTATAAAAATGGTTCATAATGAACCAATGTAGTTTTATATGTATAATATATGTATTAAAAAGAATTATTGTAAATACAATTACTAGAAAATGAATCTCAGTGATGGCACAAATTAATTTATTTTGGTTGGATTTTGGGAATGGAAATTCTTGAACTTGTTAGCTTTTAGCTACTATTGTTTTTTTTTTATCAACAAAGGAGAATATTTGTAGCTCAGGGTTGAAATGAGACGTACTTGGTGCTGAGCTTGCTTGTTTTCTTACAGATATTTCATTACCCCTAACTAGGTAACATCATCAGTGCTAGTAAGGAGTGCTGTTTGCTGTCAGTTTATATTCTGGTGTCTTGCCTGTCTGGTTGGGTGGGGGCGGTTTTAGGGATCTATTGTGTGCCTTTAATCATTAAAAATAATTTCAGAACAAAGTTAGAGCATAATAAAAGTAATAAACCACAAACATTTCCAGCATGTTAAATCATTTTACTGCTAGAACAGAAGAAGCTAAAGCAAGGAAGCTCTCAATCATTAATTAGCATGTACAAAAGTCCATCACCATAGAGAGGCTGAGGAAACCCACAAAGAGACTTGATCTGATCACTACTATGTCTCCAAGCAACATACCTCATAAAGTATAAATTGGAAAAAGACACTTCCAGGGAAAAGGTGAGATATGTAATAAATACAAACAATATGTACCTAATAAATATAAACAATATCAAAAATATGTTCTTTTTACGCTGTCATGTAATTAATTCCTAATAGACGTGACATAGAGTCTAAGACTTTTAAACACTCAGATAGTGCTCCATTTTGTTATAAATCTTCAGTCCAATGTGGGTTGCCTGAGAAGGTGCTGTCTACCTCGCCATAATGATCTCTTCTTGTATCATACAGATTATCTGCTTCAACTAGGTACAGTTGAAGGTATAAAAAGGTTGAGATTTGAAGGGATTTCCACATCCTCAGAAAACTATATCTTGTGGAAATATTTGTAAAGGTCTGAATTTGAAAGTTCTAGAAATAATTAACTCTTGTCGGAGAAAAAACAGAAACATATTTTTTAAAAATATACCTTTCTTCGATGTTTCCTGAGATCACTTGGCTAGAGTTGATAACAAAGAAAAGAAAAACAGAGTATTATCAGACATATTATAGATTTTTATAAATCTTGTGTTTCTTTTCATTAAGATTGATTTTGAAGTTCTTTAACTTCTTATTGGCCCTTATGATGAAATTTCCTTCCATCACACCAGCCCAACTGCCATTGAATCCAAAACAAAACTTGGCTGGAACCCAAGGAGATAGAGTGGACTAAGTGTTCACTTATATGTATAGTTTTAAGAAATATCATTAACATTATAAAAATTGGGTATTATGTTAGAAATACACAAATGATAGCTTGAGTCTTTATGTCAACAATTTATTAACACATTACATTTTTAGAATTTTACTTTATCTTGTATTAACAGTAGGAATTGTTCCAAATCAAAGATTTATAATGATTTGTATTAACAGTTAATAAGATATTATCACATGTGCTTGCAAGCACACGCAAACACCCATGCCTACACACCAAAAGATGAATGGTAAAGAAAAAGGAAATAAACAAGAAATAAAAAATAACCCTATGTAGAGGATTCCTCAGATATTAAATAAATGTAGTGATCAAGAGAAAGTTATACTTCTTACCAGTGTCATGATCCCCATCCGGTCCATCTCCCTAGCTGGGCTGCGTGGAGTGAGTTTAGGAGTTGAGTGGCCACTGGGAGGAGAGGAGCTTGCTAATGAAGATGCAGTTATTGAGCCAGTAATAGATGTTCCAGGATGAACCCTGGCCAGATTTAAGCCTTCTAGACTCACACTAGCAACTCTGTTTTCTATTTCTTCAGCACGCAGTTCTGTGGATTCTTTTTCTTCCTGGATTAACCTGTAATAGTGAACCAAGACAAAGCTAAGTCATTTTCATGAGAATATTGCTTTAATATGAGTGTTAATAGGAGTTGGGATAGTTCTCCCTGACCACTACTTACTATTAAACACTAAATTTCCCATGTTTTAACATTTTTTTAAAAAAAGGTAGCCATGATGAGTACAAATTACATTAGGAGTTGTTTTTGCTGCTGGAATGATAGTTTAATTTTTATTAGGGTTTTGTAACTATGCAGCAAAGAATAATTTGGCATATTTATCTTTTATCAATGGGAATCTCTTTTTCAATTTATTAAATATAATGTTCATCCAGAGCAAACAAAATATTACCACTGCTCTAACTTGCATCCCTGATTTTTGCTTGTTTAAATTTTTCTAAGAACATTCAGAGACTAAGAAAGACTTAGAAACTGAACAAAGAATTCAGCAAGTTTTCTGAAGTCATATTCTGTGTGTTTACAATGTTTAGGTTTCCTCATCATTTCAATGTCAGCCTCCCCCAGGTATTTAGCTTTGAGAAACACTGATTATAATCTGGTCTACAGAAAACTAATGCCTTTTAATTTGGGGAGTTTGCATATTAATATTTTTTAAAAAAAAATCCAAAAGAAGGCAATGGCAAGCCACTTTTATATTGTTTCAAAGAAAATCAGATGTCAATGAAGAAAATCAGAAATCATATCAACATGTTTTACCCTATTGGGGGACAAAATATTCGATTGTTCTAAGGTTTTCTTCAGGAGTGTGTGTGAAGTAAGCATACCTGATTTCTTTATTGATTGCATCTAGTTGTTCCTGAAGCATCATAGCAAGGGTCTGAGCATCTGAATGTCCACTTGGTGACAAAAGATCCATTGAACTGAAAATTGTATCTCTATCATCATCATCTATATCAGACATTTCAGTGTCACTCTCAAAATGATGGCTGCTTAGAATTCCAACTGGCTGGTTTCTATTCCACTCGTGATCTCCAAAGGATTTTACCTAATTACAAATTGTAGAATGCATATAGATCAGACTTATGGTAAATATTAATTTTCACATAGAGCTTATATTTTAAAACACCATTGCAGTTATTAACACCTTTCAATTTTCTCAGCCATTTGTGCACTTAAACCATTCTTATTAATTTCTAACAGCTGCATTGTGATATCACACGGATCTTAATTTCAGTTTTTTATAAAAATACCAAGATTTATTTTACAAGAGGCCCGAAATAGTTTAAGGCAAGATGTGGAAGGTTTCTTTCTGTATTGGTCACATAAGTCAGTTTAGATCAGTGGTTCTCAACCTTTTTAATGCCGCATCCCCCAACCGGTCATAAGTCGAGGACTAAAGCGGTCGTAAGTTGAGGACTAAAGCGGTTGTAAGTCGAGGATTACCCAACCGGTCGTAAGTCGAGGACTTTCCCTGCCCGGGAACACCACGCATGCGTGGTGCCGCCCCCTGCGCCGGCCGAGGCGTAGCTGGCAAGCAGCAGAGACGGAGCAGGCCGACCACCGGCTGGGCCACCAGCTGGCCCAGCCCAAGGGAGGTAAGGCACCCGCCGGAAAAGGGGAAAAAATGGCGGACAGCCTTGCTTGGCGACCCCGTGAAATGGTCGATCGACCCCAAATGGGGTCGCGACCCATAGGTTGAGAACCGCTGATTTGGATTCATACTACAATATAATGGATATCCCTGGATGATTTAAAATTAAAGGCAGCATTTCTAAACACTATACCGGTACTTTCATTTTTTTAGAAAAAAAGTGCATCAATAAAATCAAACTATACTGGAAACTATACTGAAGTCTATGGCTTCCAATCCAGTAAAAGAAACAGAACAATGGAAGAATGTTTCTTTTTTATTATTTTTTAATTTGTTTAAAGTTTTTATTGAGTACAAAGAAAAAAAGGCTTAAAAACATTGAACATGGTAAATCATCTTTGACTGACATCTCAGTCCATATTGTACATTAATTACATATAATATATCTATATACAACTATACATTTCTGATCTCTATCTTAACTTATCTCTTTACTATGACCTCCATTTTTTCCCCTCCATCTATAAAATTTATTCCATATTTGATAAAATTCAGTTTCTTCCTGATTTTTTAATCTTTTGGTTATCCTATCTAATTCTGCACAATACATAATTTTCTTTATTAGTGCTTCCCCACTCGGTACTTCCATTGCTTTCCACTTTTGAGCAAATAGTATCCTTGCCGCCGTAACCATGTGAATAATTAAATATGTGTCTTCTTTATTTTCATTTTCCTCTAGTACAGTGGTTCTCAACCTGTGGGTCGGGACCCCATTTGGGGTCGAACGACCATTTCACGGGGGTCGCCAAACAACGCAGTCCGCCATTTTTTCCCCCTTTCCTTAGCTGTGCTACTCCCTTTTATTCTATTGGCTTTTGAAAGCCAATAGAATAGACTCTCTTGAATAGAGTCTAATTCTATTGGCTTTCAAAAGCAATAGGAATTGTCCAGGCTGTCTCTGCCCTGCTGAGCCCGCCAAAAGTCCCATTCTGCAAACGGTGCTGCACCAGTTGAGTAGTCCTCGACTTACAACCGGTTGGGGGTCGCAGCATTAAAAAGATTGAGAACGACTGCTCTAATATTCCTAATAATAATGTCTCAGATTTGTATTGAATGTTTTGCCTAGTCATTTCTATTGCCCATTCCCAGACCATACGCCAGTACACCTGTGCTTCTCTACATGTCCACCATACATGAAAAAAGGTGCCCTTTTCTTTTTTACATTTCCAACACATAGATGAATATCCGTTATACATTTTGGCTAATCTGGCCGGAGGGAGATGCCATCTGTAAACCATCTTATACAGGTTTTCTTTATATGATGTCGCCACTGTGATTTTGTTATTTTGCTCCCATACTTGCTGCCATTGATCCATATTTATATTATATCCTAGATCTATTGCCCATGTCACCATTGTTTCTTTAACCTGCTCCTCATATAGCTTATATTCCAAGAAGTGTTTATAAATATTCTTTATTTGTTTTTTTCTCCGGGCCTAGCAGTATTTTATCTAATCCCGTATCCTGTCTGTTAATACCCCATTCTTGCTTATCTTTCATGTATCTTGCTTGTATCTGGAGATAACACCACCACTCCATGTCTATTCCTTGTTGTTTTAGCTCTTGTTTTTGTTTTAAATAACCTTCTTCTGTCAGGATGTCTTTATATATAATAGCTTTGTCTTTCCTCTACAGATTGAGATATGTGATTGCCTCTAATGGCGATAGCCAAGCCGGAATCTTTGTGTAATATTGATGTTTAACTATATTCCAGCTTTTTATTAATTCTTGCCGGACCTTATGTCTTAAAAAATATTGGTGGTTTCTGCTTTGCCCCATCCATATGTGAGCATGCCAACCCTGCTGGAGGTCATAACCCTCTAAATGTAAACATCTTTTATTTTCTAAGGTTATCCAGTCTTTAATCCATGTTAGGGCCACTGCTTGGTAATATAGCTCCCAATTTGGGAAACCTAAACCTCCCCTCTCTTTGGCATCCTGTAATGCCTTTAATTTTATTCTTGCCTTCTTACCGGACCACACAAATTCTAAGGTTAATTTATTCAGCTCCTTGAGAAATTTCTTGTCTAATTGAATTGGGATATTCTGAAACAGGAAAATCATTTTAGGTAAGATGTTCATTTTCACTGCAGCAATTCTCCCAAGTAATGAGAGATGTAAATTTTTCCAATGGTCTAAATCTATTTATATTCTTTACCAATTTGCCATAATTGTCTTCTTTAATTGATGAGCAGCGTGCAGAAATAACTATTTCTAGATATTTTAATTTGTAACTATTTGTATACCTAATTTTGCCTCGAGATTTCCTTTTTGTATGTTAGTCATGTTTTTTGTAATAATCTTTGTTTTGTTTCTATTTATTTTCAAACCTGCCAGATCCCCATACTCTTCCAATATTTCGAATAGTTTCTGCCCTGATTGTTCTGGGTCTTCTAATATAAATGCTAAATTGTCTGCATAAGCTTGCAGTTTGTATGTTTCTTTCTTAATCTTAAATCCTTTAATCTGCTCTTCTTTGTCTTACTACTCTGGAAGAATGTTTCAAGCCTGAGAAAATTGCCTAGAGCAAAAGGTGTAGTAAATAGCAAATGGTTCTATCACATTACTTATTATAATTTGATTTGTAATTGTGTTTTATGTTTGATATTATATCAGAATTGTATTATTAATGTAATTTTAAGGCCAAAATGTGTAATCCTATCTCTCCCTCCAATATCAAAACTGTTTTATAGCCTTCAGATAATATGTACTTTTACTCAGCGAGAGTTATCAGAGAGAACTCAGACAGGGCCAGATTGTCCACTGAGCACAACAACACAGTGCTTAAGTATATGAAGCTTTTGGGATTTTCCAAAAGGTTTTAGGCCCAAATAGATAACTGAACAATGAGAAATACATGGGGATGCATGCACATACAGAAACACATTTTTTCTACATTTTAAATATATGAATAACAAAACAGTCATATGTTTGAGAAATGTGGTTTTATCAATTGAATGATTAAACAAAATCTATGATCCTATTATATATTCCACCTAATGTACAATATATAATTAAAGCTATTATCTATAGAAGTATCCAAGGACGACTTTAGTCAGCAAAATGTCTTAAGTCAGCTGTACTTATGACTGCAATCTTATTAAAGGAAAAAATGATCAAAACATAAACCTTTGGTTCATCTCTTCGGATTCCCATACGACCTCTTCTAGGTCTTCTTATCACTTTAGTAGACCTATAATCTGGTTGACTATCAACTAGTGAGCCCACAGAGTACCTCAGTTCTGCTGATGAGTCAAGATGTGTTCTGAAAAACAATTGTGGCACAGGATTTAGATTTTAAAAAAGACTCAAAAATTCACTTAAATATATTTATTTTTACCATATGCAGAGGATATCATCCTACAGTTTGATACCAACACAGCAATAAAAATGGAGTATGCTTCCTTGCATACTAAAAAAAATTGTTTTATAAGGTTTCAATTTTAATGAAAAAGGAAAAGCTAAAATATATTTTGATCAATCAATATATTTTTATGTAGGAGTATGGTTTGTTGTCAGAAAAATCAGATTGGATTTATAGAGTTAAAGGCTAAAAAACTCAAACTTCATTTCACTAGCAATTTGAGTCCTCTCTCTCTCTCTCTCTCTCTCTCACACACACACACACACACACACACACAGGGAGGGAGGGAGAGCGAGAGAGGGAGGGAGGGAGGGAGGGAGGGAGGGAGGGAGAGAAAGAGAGAGAGAGAGAGGGAGGGAGGGAGGGACAGAGAGAGGGAGGGAGGGAGAGGCTTAAAAGGGAAGCCATGAGGATTAAAGTTGGGTCATACCAATATGAACTAAAAATGTTCCTTTCTTACTTCCAAGATTAACATGCAAATTGTTTCTTTGTCAAATATCTAGGCGCCCAAATCTAACAAGGTGGCAGCCATACAGATTTCAAATGATGGGTGCAGTGACAGAGAAGGCTCATTTACTTAGCTCCAATAGATAACACAGATTAATCAACAAGACCAAAAGCAACCCAACGCCAATGAATTTTGTACTGTACCTCTCCATTAAAAAATTATTCTGGGACAATATATGTCTAGAAATATGCATTTAAAAAGAAATCAATTTTAGAAATTTATATTTAATGCAAAATATCAAAAGAATGTACCTAATGAAATTGTTAAGTAACCAATTAATATAAAATTGAATATAGTTTATAAAACAACTCATCTGATAATGAATAGACCAGAAATGATCTATTTACTGATCTGTGACATTTATAACATTTGAATTCTGTGAGAAAAAAATAGGAATACACATGTAACTAATAAGTGAAATTCATTTAACTAATTTATTTTCCTATTAAAATGTTCCAATAACTGAAAAATAAAATAAAATCACCAAAAATAAGTCCAGAAACAATAAGGTAAATAATAATCTTAGTTTCCTTCCAGCCTATGATTCTATGATCTCATGATTCCTTTTTATTATTGACAGTTATGGTTCTTTATTTCCACAGCTATTTAACTATATGGTTAGAAGGGCAGCCATATAAATTTGATTGATTGAATGAATATTTCTATGTCGTAAGGATATAAACAGCCACAGCTCTGTTCTATTGTGACTTTTGACCTGCTGATATTTAAGACATCTGCTACTGACTAAATAATAGTCATGATATTTCTATTTCAAATTTCACAATTCCGTAAACAGCAATCACGATTATGGATGATGAAGAGTGTTTTAAATATGTGATGACTGAATTTCAAAATAATGTTATTAAAGAAAATGTCATTATTTTCTTGTGCTACCTTGACAATGTGGGCTCCATTAAAGACCCTGCTCGTATTTTCAACTGGTCAAGTTCAGCTCTCAGCTTGTCTATCTCTTCTGCTAATCTTTCCTGAAAATTGAAACAAATAATAATAATTGATTAATATAGATAGATGGTAGTTCAAAATTATTCATCAAATTTTATTGTCATATAATATCAGTTCTGAATAGTTGAACCATATGCCAGAAAACTCTACATGAGTTACCTAGCTTTCCTCCAGTACAAACCTGGATGATCTTATCTGGGCTTGGAAGCTAAGATACTCAAATCTTGTTAGTTTTAGAATGAAAGCCTATAGGGAATCACAGCAGTACACTATCCTTCATGAGAAGCTGTAAACATCCCAGAAGGTGGCAATGATTAAACTAGTTCCCAACTGTAATATCTTGCAAATATATTGTTAACTCCCACAATCATTATCCAGCATATTGCCTTGGGAATTATGCAAGGCTGGGGACAGTAGAAAGGTGAATTAGATTAAATCTTTATAATGGATATTTGTTAGTAAAGTATATGTGTGAAAGAACCATTAAAACCATCTGATAAAACATGCCTACAGATCTGACAATATTAAGGAATTATTAATGAGGGATTTGTGGACAAAATTGGTATTGTCTTGATACGTTTAAGTGCAACTTCCATTCTCAGTGCAGAGTGATGAGAAATGGATCAATTCATTATATACACAAAATTACATCTGGAAGACCATCATTAATAAGCCTGGAGATTCCAGATTTGACAAACAGAAAACTAGAAATACTTTTCACATATTCCAAAATTGTTGCATTTTCACCTATTTACATTTTTTTGTACTATTTTAAAATAATTTTAATACAGGAACAGCTTACAATAAATAAAGGCATCAACCTAACTAAAATTAGCTGTCACCAGTTACAAGCAATGAGGCTTTTATGTGTAGCTGTTGGTAATTTTTCCAGTGTGGTGCTTATTATTATCAAGATCAAGTGCAAAGAGTGAGCTTTCTCATTAAAAAAAATAGCCCAGTATTATAGTTTGAATTCATATTTATTGTAGGACAAAAACACTGGCCTTAATGGAGAGTTACATTTTAGTAAGCTAGTCCTGTTAACAAAGTTACAGCCTAGAAACATTTGTCAAATATAATTCAAAATGTTAGTGCAAATAAAATGTCAGTTAAGATACACAGGATTTTATGTACTAGTCTTCACATTAGTTTTGGTTTTCTGAAACACCTCTATTTTCCCCTTGGAAGAAATATTTTCAATCATTTTCCTAAATTTACTTTATTTTAGATTCTCTTTCTTATCCAGAAAATAACTACCATTTATTCTTCCCTCCATGTGCATGTTCTCTCTCTCTCTGTATTTATAATGGTTTTTATTATTTAAGTTATGACTTAGAACAGGGATGTCAAACTGCTGGCCCATGGGCCGGATGTGTCATGCCAAAACCACACCTACCCCATTGCCGGCAATGGAAAAAAAGTTGCAATATGTCATGACACGTCACGTGACGTTGCGAGTTTGACACCCCTTACTTAGAGAATCTAGCATTTTAGTAATCTGGCAATTTCCTTATTCTCATACATACTTTTCAACATGAAACAGTATTATTTTTAAAAAAGAAAAGGAATCGCTCCTCTAAAATCTTGACACAACTTGGCATTTAACTGGTTTACCATTTAGAGTATTCTCTACCTGTGCTGACTTTCAAAATGCATTGTAAACAAAAAGAATTGATACAGCAGGTGGTTAACACATTAAGCTAGTATTGCACAGGCTCCTAATTAAATTCCAGTTGAACCAAGAAGTCTACTGGGTCACCTTGGGCCAATCACTCCCTTTGGGCCCATTCAATATCATAAGAAGCAGTTCTGGGGAACAAAATGTATATTGCCACAAAATCCTTGACCATGTTAAAGAAGAAAAAAAGCACCAATTAATACATCATAAACAGCATGTTTGGAACTGGGTGAGAATATTGATCCTTTCTTTACTATTTTACAACTGAATTTCCTGGAAAAGGCTCCCAAGAAGCTAAAAACCTCCGAATGTAAATGGAAGCGGCGTTTTAATTTTATGGGGGATAGAAACATACAATACTGAAGTGGAAGTAACATAAAACTACAGTTTTGATAAATTTGAGAACTGAGATAACTATTAAGATTTTCTCTTTGAAAAAAAACATTGAGGCGAAATATAAGAAATCAATTCTTTGTTTTAAGACTGGAAAATGGACTTTGAATGACATTTAGTTGTGGATTTGTGTATAGCACTATACTTTGCTTCCTGGCTGCTTGGTGATTCCTAGCTTGGGAGAATAGCTGGCAATAAAAAAAATATTTTGGCATACTTATCACCCTGACCTTCTTGGTTTATAAATACCTACTGAGCTTGGACTTTTAACTTCAAGAGCGAGTGGAAGAGAAAGAAAAATTTGACCTTGGACTACGCCTGTCTGGGAGAGACTTTTGAGGTGTTTTCAGAGAGGTTGAACATTTTGAATGCTTCCAACATTATGGATTACAACCTTGCCTGATTGACAATTTTTGGATACTTGAGACAAAGATTCACTATAAAATATTGCTTTCAGGACTGAACCTATACTTTGGAATCTATTGGATTATAAAGGATACATATAAAGATGAGAAAATTAGAGGAAATGTTGATCTACTTTTACTGAGACTGGTGATACTAGAGGATCTCCAGGAATGATGCCTCAAGAAAAAACAAACACCTTTCAGAAGGAAATATATTCTATGCTACAACTAATTCACCAAACAATTGTTGAATATAAAGAGGATACAAAAAGAAATCATAATGAGAATAAAAACAATATAGACAATATAAATGAACAAATCTCCAAATTAAATCTACAACTAGAAAGTTCCCAGATAATGACTACAAAGTATGAACAAATAAACCAGAAATCAGAAGATGAAACAGAGGAAATGGATTTAGATGGAAGAGATAAAAGAAGAGAAATATAAACGACTATATACAAACAAAATACTTAGCTATAATAATGAAAATACAAAATACCTTTTACCCCTTAGGTCTGCAAAATATAACTGATGACAAGCAAGAAAGTTTTAAAAAATGGAATATATTGCTGTTAGGGGAAATGTCACAACTTGGGAGACAAGGAATGAAAAGAGAAACAGAGGGACAAAGGAACTGAGAGTTGTTTAAGGAATATAAATGGGCAGAACTCCCCCCCAAAAACACTCTATCTAAATTGTGTTCCTCATGCCAAGCAATTTTCACAAAAATAGAAAGAAAATTCCTGGGCGATCTAATTGCCCTGGCTTGGAAAGCTACTTGGCAAAGAAAGAAAGTGAGAGTTAGATTTAAAAAACAGAAGATTTAACCTTTTAGAGAGGGCATTATATCTTTAAATACTTGTTTGAATAAGATTAAAAGAACGGATGACCCTTAGATATAATTAGACTTTTATAATGAAAGATATGATTTAGAACTAAGATAACATTTTTTTCTTTTCTTTTTTTTGATATGGGAAATATAAAGATAAGAGGATTGATATGAATAAAACTTTTAGCTATATAAATGTAATTAATATTAAGAAAATCATAACTGACAAAGATATTTCAAATACCAATGGGAAATCAAACCTTAACAAGAGCATGAAAAACAGGATATTGATTTATGAATTGACATTGATTTATGAACTGATATTGTTATTTGTATGATATTAGTAAAATATGATGAAAATGCTTATATTTAATTCTGTATATATTAACATTACCAAAAATTGTACTGTTAACAGTACCAAAAACTGTCCAATGAGGGGAAAATGGAAAAAATCTGGAGGAGGAGGATTAGGGAAAAAATACTGGCATGTGTAGTACTGAACAGATTTATATTGAAGAAGTTAATGTTAAATATATGAACCCAGACAACATGTTATTTACTAAGCACTAAAGACTGTAATTCTTAAAAATTAATAAAACTTTTATATTGAAAAACCTGTGCTCCTGAGACATAAGGGATTTTATACAACAGAGAAAGGAAAAATAATCACCAAAGCTCGGAATGTTGGTGGCTGTTTTATACAAGCCAAAGTTTCTTGAAAAAGAAACCTGATTTGATAAAAACAGTTTAAATGGTACAGATAAGCATAAATAGAAGAAAAGACAATACTTTTATTTTGTTTGGATGAGCACATTAATAACACTATAATGTTATCATTAATGTTATCTGGATAGATGTTGAATCAATCTATTATGTAGAATACTTGTATAAAGACAACTGTCTTACTCTCAAATATATGTGCATACAATTGCAGCCTAGAATTAATTCTTATGATTGCTTTTTTTAAAAAAAACATTATTAATAAAGGCTGTAGTTAATCTAGGGTACCTTATCATGCAGAGATTCTTCCAAATTCTTTCTGAAGTTTTCTGATTCTTCTATTAAAACATTCTAAGAGACAAAAATAAAAGCTAAAATAAGGTCTAGTGAAATAATTATTACCCAATCAAGGTTAACAAATAAATCAACCACATATCAATGATATTTAAATTATTTTTATCTCTAACGTAAGACATATTGTTAAAATTCTTTCATTAATTCAATCCAAGACTGAATATGTTAAAAGATACTACCACTAGTACAATTACAAAATTGATATCAACATACGATTAATAATGTAAAATTAAGAGATTGTTTTCATTTGTGACCTGCAGGCATTGCCAGTTACATTCAATCAGAGCAGGTATGAGGGGACATTTGCAAAAGGGTGAGAATACTGAATAAAAAGCAGGAAGCACTGAAGTTCCTGATTCCATTAGCATAGTAATTCTCAACTTTGGCAACTTTAAGGTGTGTGGAATTCTAGAATTCCTAAGCCATCCATGTCTGGGGAATGCCATCCATTGCCCACTATCCACTAACATTACAGAATATAGACAAATTATAGTTTCATATTCTAATAAGTACTGTACAAAGGATAAGCATATCTCAAATAAGTGTTTGTAGTGATGGCAAACTGCTATGACTGTACCATAAGGCTGGGACTCTACCAAAAGGTTTATGGAAGTGAAAGTAGTGACAATGAGAGACAGTAGAAATGGGCAAGGACTACTACCACCATGCTGTAAACTTTTTAAATTCTGGTGGTGGTTTCATGTACCATTATGGGAAGCTGATGGAGGAAGAAAGTCAACAGGAACTGCAGAAACACAACAAAAAGAATTTCTTATTGAGGCCATGGATTGTGTCTCAGATTTTTTAATGCCTTCATTCTACAGGATAAAATGAAGAAGGAAAATAACTATGAATATCTATACTTAAATGAAGCAAGAAGCATGCACGTTATTTGCTTGTTTTTCTTTACCTTCTCTTCCAAAGCTGCCATTCTCTCTTTCAAATGCAGTTGCAAACGTTCATTAGATTCTGTCAAAAGTCTGTCCACTGTATCAGACAATCTTTTGTTGTGCTCTTCATTCATTTTTTCTCTTTGTCTTGCCTTTCAATAAAGTTCAAAGGAAATAAAGCAAGCAGGTTCAACATTAATTAAAATCAAAACACTAGTTAAAGACTCACATTGATTTGTTTGATTTGAAGTTGTAATATTAATACTACGATAAAATGGCATGTAGAAAAACAAATTTATTTCAAAGAGAAAATAAAATTGAGCAGCTCCATAGAGAAACAAATAAATTTATTAGTTGAAACATTTAGTCATAGATTTGTATATAGATGTAAGGATTTTTTTTCTTACAATAGAGATATGTGCCCTTCATTTATTATTCATATTCAGAAGGACACTGTAATTTTAAATCAAATATTTAGAAGTGCCACAAAGTGCAGCAGAACTGAAGAAGCTTCTTAGATAAGAAGTGAAACATTTTCAAAGAAAAAACAAAGGAAGTCCAGTTGCTTTTTGAAAAGCATCTTTAGGACTCACTTTTTCATGTTCATTCCTCATGAAAGTACAGTAAAATTTTAGGTCACAGTGACTAATACCAGTTCATTAGACTATTATTAGTTCTGTGTATTTATATACTTTAAGCTATTCCATTTAAACTTTTTAATATTTTTAATAATTGTTTTTATATATTAACTGCTTTATAGTTTTCTTGCATGCTGCCCAGAGACACTTTTGCATGGGATGGGTGGCATACAATTTGATGAATAAATAAATGAATCTACAATTTGGGGCTAGTGCATTTGGTTGGCTACCACAAGAATTACTCCTGTGATCACAGCAATTGTGATAATTTAAATAGGGGCAACTTGAAGCATCTTCTATCCCAATGCTGGTGAACCTATGGCACGCGTGTCAGAGGGGACACTCAGAGCCCTCTCTGAGGGCACGCGCACCATCATCCCAGTGCAGAGTTTGCCAGAGTAGCGAGCAAGTGAGTGAGCAATGGAATGGGACCATAAGGCTCCTACTTTTGGCCACGCCTCCTTCTCCTTGAGCCTCCCACCTCTGCCCATTTGCCTCCAGCATTCCTCCTTGGCTGGCCCATCCCCACCCATTCTCCCTGGCCAACGGGTCCCGCGCCCTCCACCTCACGCCCTTCGGCCCAGCCCATTCATCAAAGCTGCCTTTGTCCTGGGCTTTTGGCTGCAGTTTGCCACCAGCCAATCATATGGATGGCAGACAGCAGCCATGGTACTGCAGGAGCAGCATGCAATTACCAGTAGGTGATTGCAAGGGCTTTAGGGGTATGCGTGGCTTCTGCTGTTGAAGTGGGGGCATAGGAGGCGTGTCGGGGCACTAGTTGGTTATCCCCCAAAGATTCTCTAACTTTAAAACAGCTTTTGAGTGGCAACAGTAGCTCAGCACGAGGGGCTCAGGGGGTGTGGCAATGCTAACTCCCAAGAATGAAGGGCTCAGAGGCAGCTATAAGCAGGAGAGGCAGGGAGGGGGACAAAGAAAGGAAATCAAACCTAATTGACAGGGAGCATAGTAATCATGCCCTACTCCACAGAGGGCAAATCCCCATCATCCCAGCCTGGCAGGGGTCTTCCTATCCCACCGTTGCAGACAAAGGGGGGCTCCAGTGAGGAGGAGGAGGTGGAAGAAGAGGGTTTAAGCAAGTTTAGCAATCAGAGTGGGGATCCCCCCCAAAACAAATGTGCTTTCTGGGTAACCTCGCAGCATGACAGAGGAGACCAAAATCTGCTGCAACCACCCAGCAGACGAGGGGGAATAAAAACCAAACAGCCCCCCCCCTCGCCTTTTGTCATTGAGATAAAAACAGAAAACTTCTGCTGATACCCACAGTGGAGCTCTATAGCTCTGAGTGCCCCCTCTGACACACGTGCCATAGAATTATTCTTCCTCCACAGAGAGGTATTCAAAGTAACTATGAGAAATACCAAGTCTGATTGGAATTTGGGTAAACTCATAATTAGTGCGTGAAAAGTCAGTGCCAGAATGTGTTTTTGAAGATTAAACTGGACTATAATATATTATTCCATCAGTATCCTGATATTGTACTCATCAAGCTGTAAGTTCATGAAAAATAACAATAACAATGGCTACTATTATAATTTTACAGATGTATGTGACATGGGATAAATAGTTGAACTCAAACTATAATATAAGTATGTATACCCTTTGAAGTTCTTGATTCTTCTCTTCCAACTGAGCCTCTAGGTGCCGCATGCGTTCTTCAATATTGCCATGTCTTTCTTCTGCCTATAAAAATAATATATGTTGGTGTGAAACATTAAATAGCTTATTAAATCAGAATGGTCATTTTCAAAAAAGGAAATATAAAGCAAGCTACTACTAACTGCAAAACTTAATTTTATTCAAACAGGCAGCTGAACAGCATCGCTTGAAATGTGTCAGCTACAAAGGCCTGTTACATCCAAGCATCCAGCAAAACATTGGAGTTATTTATGAGCAATGAAATCAGCCAAATGTAACATGCAGACTGTGCATGGTTTGAACACAAACCTGCCATCATAAAATTGTAAGCTCTTTAAGCATTGAACTGCAGAATGGTTGATTATCAATAAAATAAATACAGAAATTAAAAGAATTCTTAAAAATATAAAAACAAAATCAGATGAGATTCTATTTAGCAATAGAAAGTAAAGTCCTGTAGGACTACCTTCCTACGTATGGAGATCATTTCTTGTAGTTTAGCTTCCATAACATATTGATAATCATCAGATGAGGTAGAAGAGGTTGGATCAGACTAACATCAAGGAAAAGGAGAGGGACAAAATTGAAAAATCAGAACTAAAGACACCACACTGAACAGAATACAGCACAGAATGCTTAAAATAAAAGTGTGATTGCAAATTTAATATTTTAACTGACAAAATTTTATGTAGAATAAACCACACTTACAATAGGGTGATATGAGGCAGTTGATGCAGATGGAGTGAAAACAATGGAATGCTAAAAAAGCCAACAACCTAAGTATGGAAATTCCAAGTTAGTGATGGCTGGCTGATGAGAATTATTCTTCCTCCGCAGAGAGGTATTCAAAGTAACTATGAGAAATACCAAGTCTGATTGGAATTTGGGTAAACTCATAATTAGTGCGTGAAAAGTCAGTGCCAGAATGTGTTTTTGAAGATTATCCTACAATCATAATGAAAACAGGGTATACAGTGTTACAGGTTGTATTAAATAAATGGATTAAACATTTTTAGAATAATGTCACGTAGATTCCCTTTAAGGTACAAAAGCAAATAAATGATACTGAATTTCTAGGTAAAGGAACAAAGTCCTCTCCCAATGAAAAGTACTAAATAGGAGTGAATATAAAGCAAATATCTAATTGCTTTACCAAAGGCATAGACCATGACTGGATACACTATAGCATTTTGTTGGGCACTAAACTACAATCTGGGGAAATATATTATTGTGAACTCTATGCTGACTATAAACATTTAGTAAAACTCTAAAATGTATTGTGGGTTTTGTCTTTACCTTACCAAGCAATGAGATTTTAAGTCAATCTTATAAAATATATCTCACATTAAATTCAATCAGATTTATTTCTAAGTAAGTGAACACATGATTGTGGCGTAAATTTATAATATTAGATTGGCACTTTTGAGTCAGTCCTTTTCACTTCTGTAAAAACATGTACATTGTTTGAAAACAATTTGTGATTAAATACAGCTGAGTATGAGGGCCAGTGCTGTTTTTACTATCCATGCCAGATCCTAAAATCAGAAAATTGTTTTGAGCTTCTGGAAGATATCAGAGATGACTAGAGAGAAGCATTTGAACTTGATGGCACAAAATTAAGAGAAGACATTAATGATTATTTCAGGGTACTGATTATGAAATAACGCAAAACATATTGAAGAGTCATTGCAAAGCATAAAACTGATCTGTTGCTTCAATTATGCTTCAAAAATGGTTATTTTATTTAAAGGGAAACATTTTTATTACCAAAAATTCCATGAACATCAGGAAGATGTTCTCATAGCCTTCACTGATAGTTCGTTCTGTTGACTACAAAAAGGATCAAGTTGATAAAATTACCACACAGAGGCCTTATCTGAAACAAAGTTAAACTCTCAACTTTTTCTGAAACCATCAAGAAAATATTATTGCCAGAGGATACATCTCAGAAGTCAAACTTTCTAAATATTTAATCTTAGAATCAAGCTGCATGATCTAGGTAAGTGACTCCACTGTCCTGTTAGAAAAAAGATTTCACAAGTTTTTCCTTTTTTCCAATACTCTGGAGGAGGTAATCAGAATACCTTAAAAAAACAACAACACAGCAGTTCCCAAAGAAAATAACTATTACTCACTTTCAGATCCACAAAAAACTATTATAAGATATAGGTTGACTCAGCCTTCCATCCTTCCGAGGTAGGTAAAATGAGGACCCAGATTGCTGGGGGCAATGTAAATATATATATACATTGCTTACTGGTGTACACCGCTTAGAGAGTGCTTGCACTTAAAGCGGTATATAAGTCTCATAAAATAAATAAATAAATAAATATAAATACAAAAAGACTCCAGCTGAATCATGCCAAAAAACATTCTAGTCTATCACACAGTAGCCCACTGAAATATGTGAGAAGTCCACAAGACACACTAACCCCTTTTCCTATTACCTCTCAACAAAGCATGTTCCTCCATGATTCAGGAGAAAATAAATATTAATATTATTTGACATGGGTAGTTTAAACTTCCATGACACATTCAGAACTTTTTGATAGCTACTGGCCCTTAACTGGCTGCCATTACTACATATCCTGACAGCAAATTCCTCAATATTATGTGCTGTGTGAAAAAATACTTTGTTCTATCAGACCACAATTCTTCCTGCATTTTATTTCAATGGATAAACTAAAATTCTATTATTATGAAATGGTAAAAAACTTTTCTGTATACAGATTAACTATGCATGGAAGCCTTATACACGTCTGTCTTCCATTACTCTCAGCAGTTATTTTCCTTGTAAGTCAACAATATACCCCAGAATCATATGGTCTGATATTGATCAATTCAGTCTACTCCACAATAATGGATTTGTAAGGAGTTAAGGCATGAATGGGAGTAGAAGGCATTTGGAAAATAAACTATTCCCGTTCTCATCCTTAAAACCCTTTCTCAATGACATAAACTTATCACTCTTGACTTTTACCCTTCTCCCTTCCAAATTTCAGTGATGTGGTCTGATTATAAGTTAAGATTTGTCACCCTTGCTTTAATTTATGATTATTACATTTTTTGCCCAGACCAGACTACATAGACTTTGTCCTTATCAAATAATCTCATAAAGATAACCTATCAATTATGGCTATAGGTTTTGGTCAAAAACCTTTACTGCATATGCAGAAAAGTAGCTTCCAAACCATAGTATCAATCGGGATTTTTTTTAGTCATATATAAGTCATGTCATTCTCAGTTCTTTGAAATTAAAAATTGATGAAGCATTAAATCTATACATTATTAAAACTCTTATGTCTGTAACCATTAATTAGACGAAATGGTGCATCATGGGACAAAACTGTTTGGACTACTGTGTAGGACATCAAACCAAATGTATAATCTACACTGTCCTGTTACTAAATTGTAGTTAAGACTATCCACCTTTAGGCTTAATGAGAGCTAAAATTGGCTTCAGCTCTCTTAACAATCCATAATAATTCAGTCAGTCTGGAAAAAAGCTTAATCAGACAAATTGGTGTCACATGACATTTCATCAGAGCTCTTATTATTAATACTGTATACTTTAAAGAGACATTAAAAGAAGATAAGGACAAAGTGATATAATCTAATTTTCAATGATCCTCAAAATTGGATATTAGTATGAAGCCTGTAAACTGTCTTCCTGTTTTAGTGATTGAATTTGGATGAATTAGATGGAGTAGGCTGATGCTTCTTATCCTCAACTTTTGTCTCCTTTCCCACAGAACCTTTATTTATTGATTTCTATTCTGCCTTTATTATTTTCAAAAATACTCAAGGTGCCAAACATATTCAACATACCTTCCTCCTATTGGATATCTGGGCAAACTGCCAACTAAGTGCTATATTATGGAAGATTAAAGGCCATGCCTGAGCTGGATTTGTAAGAACTATTGCCTACCACTCCTCATATTTCAAAGAAGATCCCTGCTGTGTTTTTGCTTGGTATTTCAGATACTTTGCTTGTAGAAGGGTCAAGTACTAAACCTATCTTTTGAACCCACTTTAGCTATATCACCTATAATGTAATTATCTAATTTAGGACCCTCTAACCTAAACACCTTTTAGTTGATATAGAGAGTTGAAATCTCTATATCAAGAAAGAACACAGACTGAGTTGGCTGGTTTAAATAGAAGCTTCCCCCTACCTCCTTAAAGTCATTTAACCTACACACAAATCTAATTTACACAACAAAATTTAAATGAAATACAGTATATAAGCCATAAATATTTACTGAACAACAGAACTGAAAGGTTTGGGAACAGCTAATATGTTTATAGTACAACAAAAATAGCTTATAAGTAATATCACCGCAAATATTAATATTACCCTTCCTCACCAACATAGAGACAGTAGAGAAGATAGATAAGACTGAACCACTTTGGCAGGCTATATATTGAAAAATAAATCTTATACTTCTTATTTTCATCTGACTGCATAGTAGAGAACTCTAAATTAGAGAACTCTAAGTTGGAATAATAAATGTTGCTTTATAGAGCATTAATGTATGCATTTGTCTTAATTTATTCAGTTAGAAGATATAGAAGATATACAAAAACATTCATTCATCTACTCTCTCTGTAGAAAATGTAGAAACATTCATGTGCATTGATGTTTCCTTTTCAAGACATCACTTTGCAGATTAAATGATTTTTTGTATATTACCAGAAACCCTAACAGAGCAGGAAAATATTATCTCATTAAACGGTTGCATGAGCAACTGAAAAGTATTTGCACAGGTAGCCAAGAAGGAATAATCCATTAATATTTTGAAATGAAAGCAGGAAACACAAAATCATTTTTGTACCATTTGAAGTTGTTCTGAGTTTTTAATATAACATTTTCATTGAAAAGGGCTTTCTTTCTACTGAATATCATTCATATATGTTTTACAGACTTATCAAAATCAAATATGCCATTTCTCTGCATCTTTATTCAGGAGGTGAGTGTTGCAGAAGAGAAACTGGGCATTGTTGCACAATAAGATATGCAGAGGAAACTCCACAGTACAAAGCAAAACACTATGGTTTCAAAGCTAATAAAGAGGAACTGCAAAGGATTTACAAGTGTAGTGTGCCTTTACTTTTTATAAGTTGTTCTTCCATAACAACTAAGCTTGGCAACCTGTACATTTTACCATGGAGCCAATATGCAAATTCCAGAGATGTGGACTGCATATTACTGGAATAATTTATCAAGCACTTGTCCTATCCAAGCTCTTAATGCTCTCATGCAACACAGAATCCTTCATGTGTGGCCAAGGAAAAAAAAACCTGAATCTTGAAATTTATTTTAATGAAAGTGATCTCTGTGTTTTGCTAAATCAATGTGATGTAAAAAAGAAAATTCGATGACAAATAAATTTCATGATGTTTAGCTGAACTGGGTTAATCATAATTCTTTTATAATACAATGTATTATAAAATAAACTCCTGTGGTATATTGGCAGAAATATATGAAGCCATAAAAGAAACACAAAGCAATACCTCTGCCATTAAATTAAATTAAACTAAAGCAAGTAACTTTGTCTAATTAATATTTATTTACGGTGCCATTAAGTAGAATCATCTTGTCCACTCCAAAAGTCTTTTATTGCTGCTGACGGTGCTGAAGGGAGGAGAAATGGATGAAAAATCAATTTTAAAAGAAATCAATTTTCAGATACTAACCTATTCTTAAACTTACATTACCTTAGTCAGTGCTGCAATTCTCTGGGCCAATTCTGCCTCCACTTCTGGTAAAGTCTCAGCTTTTCTCATTGTTTGTTGTAGCTTTTGCTCAGCTAGCTCGAGACGTTCTTGCAGCTGCCTGTTTTTTTCCTCCATCTAAAATCCAGAAATTGTAAGATTAAAGATTAGATTAGGAACTGAACAATGGAGGGAAGGATAAGAAAAAAAATACACATTCATAGAAACAACTGGAGATTAAAATTTCCCAAACCAATATGGTTCATTGTATAATTAAATTTCTAATAAGTTAAGTAAATCTCCTGTTTCTGCAAATACTATATCATCCACTGGTGACAACTGCTGATCCTTTCCCATCATATGCCCCAATGAAACTGAAAAAAACTGTTTTCTGTGTTATTTATTTCCAATTAATATATCATTCAAATATTAAAAATTAATAAAAAAGAGGGATGTCTTGGTGGGAAAATTTAGTAAGTTAAGCCAGCTTTCATTGACATTTTATGTATCCCACCTATATCAACCAAATATTACACTTTTCTCTGAAGTATGCTAATAGTATGATAAGAAAGTGGAAGAAATTATAAGTGGCATCTATAGATCTACTGTACAAGAAAATTCCAAATTAGCATAATAAAAATCTCATACTGAATTTTAATATATTATACAACTCATGTACTGTTCTCTCTCTCTCTCTACATATACACACACCACAATTTCCTACATTATTGTTGTTTTGGAAATTTTAATTTCTATCTTGTATGGGCTTCAATTCTATATCTCAGCTAGTATTCTTTGCCAGCTGCTTAAGAACAAATATTTCCTTGTTCCTAAATTATAAGTAGTAAAGTAAGATAAATAATTATATATAAGTAAACCGAATTAACATTCACATGATTGAATGCCATTTGCAGATTATAAAGTTCATAAGGTGTACCAGGGAATCCAATTAATAGCTTAGTTTACCTCTTTCATATACCAAGAGGAGAATATCTTGCCATGTTTTTTCTTTCTTTTTGTGCCAAAATTAGAGCACAGTCCCTTTGCCATAACTTTTACAAAGCAGTCTCATTGAAAAGGTGAACATTTTTTGTGTTCAATTGTATTTACTATGATTTAACTCTTAGTTCATTTTGTAACTTACTATTAAGCTATGTTTATTAGCATAAAATAACAATGTAGAATACTGTACAGTTAATGTGTGCCTACATATGCTGCTATGTATCTGCCACCCCTTTCATTTGATTTGCCTCTGTCTTACCTTAGAATATTCTTAAATGTTTGCTTCTTAACTTGGCAGATACCTGGTCTTACAACCCAACAAATTCCAAAATAATATCTTCTCATGATGGCATTTTTTTTAAAAAAAGGTCTAATCCTACACATGATTTGTGTTAGCCTCTCACCTTGATTATATGAAAATCCAAATTCATTCCTGACTTCAATCTGTAGAAATCAATGAATGTAAACATGCCTGTTGTAATTTAAAACAAATGTAATGCATAAATAGGGGAGGAGGGGGCTAATCTGAATAGTTTCTCCTACAATTCATTTGAGCTGTAGCCGCAATCCCAATACAGAACCTGACGTAGGATGGCTTCTTTGTTTGCCAGTTCATTTTCCAATTTGTCATTCATGTCATGTATGGAAGTAGATTCCCTCTGTGCACTTAGGTAACGTTTCTCCAGGGTAGTTATTCTTTCTTCCATATCTTCTTTCTGGGCCATAGCCTTGAAAGAATTAAGCAGCACATTAGAATACAACGTTGGAGTGGCTAGCAATTGGTGTCCTATTCAACAGTGTGGGAAAAGTTTGCAATGAAATTTACTCACCTAGAAATAGACAAACTGAAAAGCAGTTTTAGCATTAAACCTAATGGAGAAATTATTTAAGTGTGGATTCTAAAAAAAACATAATTGCTAGAATTCCAAGATCCTGATGCAGATCAAAATATTGGATATCCGATATTGCTTGTCTGTCTAGTACTGCATTCATTCATTATAAACAGATTTTATTTACAAAAATGTTGTTAAATGATTAGTTCTGTCTTATATATTTTTGCCTCTATATTTCTTACATATATTGTGACCAAAATAATAATAAACATGTACAGATATATCCTTCTAATATAACAAAGTTAAAGGGGGAGAAAAGAAATACAACTGATAATTTTGACAGACAGATAGACATAAACTTTATTTGGTCATTGACCAATAAAAATATGTTCAGTAAAGCAAACAAAACAAGGTTAACATCTAACAGTGACTACTGGCAACCATTGTAGGTGAAGCTGTTACACAACGTAGCAAAATTAGAATAATAAAATATAATTAGATCAATTTTATTTGGTAATTGACCAATAAATACAGAGAAATAGATTTATCCTGGTTATGGAACAGATAATGCAAATAAAAATAGGATGCCCTGGAAATTTACACAAGAAAGGGCTAAATGGCTGGTGGTGAATGTGCCTGTAAAACTGGGTTTACAAAAGAACATGGACTTTGGTAAAGATAATTTAGGTTTTTTTAATCCTATTTTCCATAGTTCAAAACCAAGATTTGGATATGAGGACAATTCTTATTATCTTATGATAATAAGGCTGCTTCCTGACAATGTAGACATATTTTAAAATGCAAAGTATCTCTTCAAATCATCTATTCAATTTACTTTTCTGGATAATTTGTATTTTTATAAACATGTTTTATAAATATTTTATCATTATATTTTATAAACATTTGGAATGTTTTCTGCTTTTTCTCCAACATTCTATCCTATTGTAATTCTTCACAGTGTGAAAATCCTGAAAAGTAAACATATTTTAAATGCAATTAAATTAAATTATTTTAAATAGCAAAAGAAAGAGCATTATGGTGATGTAAATTAACAAAATTAGGACAAAATAAAGTTCTGCTCAACATGTCATCATTTGGGAATGAGCAATTAGCAGGAGAATTTAGGAATTTTCATTTAGTTTTGTCAACAGATGTCACAGAAACAATATATTAAAAACAATGTTATAGTGGTTAGTACTAATTTGATGATTAACCTACCCTTCTTGACTAGTCCTGCACTGCAAATTATGTTTCTACAATGTATCACAAGTTGATTAGTTTTGTGTCAAACCAACAGATCTTCTCTGTCTCTCTGAGTTGTTTCATAGAGCAAGCTCTTTATTTCCCTTGGTAAGTCGTAGCGAAATAGTGCTTAAACTGCTACACATGGATGCAAAAATACAAGTGCTATCAGAATATTCATCTACTATTAAACATCTTAAACTGAATGCTAAATGTTAAAGGCAAATTTATTTTTCCCCAATTGGCTGTGGAAGAACTCTATTGCACTAAATAAAATTATCCTCAAACCTGAATAGATGACAGGATGAATATCCAAAAGAGATTTACCTCTCTAATATCTCTCTGATATTTGCTGTTCAGTTCTTCAGTTTTAATGAGGTCCTTCCTAGCAGTTTCTGCATCTTGCTCCACCTCTCCAACTCTGGAAGACAGTGCAGCCAAGCGATCCTTCATCTGTGCCATTTCATAATTTTGCTTTTCGAGAAGTTCTTGCAGTTCTACCAACTGAGCAGTCTCATCATTTGAGTCTATAGAGCCATTTGACAGACGCTGTTCAAAAAAACCCACAAACTCCGGTAAGAAGGCAAGAATAAAATTAAAGGCACTACAGGATGCCAAAGAGAGGGGAGGTTTAGGTTTCCCAGATTGGGAGCTATATTACCAAGCAGCGGCCCTAACATGGATTAGAGACTGGATAATCTTAGAAAATAAAAGATGTTTACATTTAGAGGGTTATGACCTCCAGCAGGGTTGGCATGCTCACATATGGATGAGGCAAAGCAGAAACCACCAATATTTTTTAAGACATAAGGTTTGGTAAGAATTAATAAAAAGCTGGAATATAGTTAAACATCAATATTACACAAAGATCCTGGCTTGGCTATCGCCATTGGAGGCAGTCACATACCCCAATTTGTACAGGATAGACAAAGCTATTATATATAAAGACATCTTGACAGAAGAAGGTTATTTAAAACAAAAACAAGAGCTAAAACAACAAGGAATAGACATGGAGTGGTGGTCTTATCTCCAGATACAAGCAAGATACATGAAAGATAAGCAAGAATGGGGAATTAACAGACAAGATATGGGGTTAGATAAAATACTGCTAGGCCCGGATAAAAAACAAATAAAGAATATTTATAAACACCTGTTGGAACAAAAGCTATATGAGGAGCAGGTTAAAGAAACAATGGTGACATGGACAATAGATCTAGGATATAATATAAATATGGATCAATGGCAGCAAGTATGGGAGCGAAATAACAAAATCACAGTGGCGACATCATATAAAGAAAACCTGTATAAGATGGTTTACAGATGGCATCTCCCTCCGGCCAGATTAGCCAAAATGTATAACGAATATTTATCTATGTGTTGGAAATGTAAAAAAGAAAAGGGCACCTTTTTCATGTATGGTGGACATGTAGAGAAGCACAGGTGTACTGGCATATGGTCTGGGATTGGGCAATAGAAATGACTAGGCAAAACATTCAATACAAACTGGAGACATTACTATTAGGAATACTAGAGAAAAATGTAAATAAAGAGGACACATATTTAATTATCCATGTGGTCACAACAGCAAGGATACTATTTGCTCAAAAGTGGAAAGCAATGGAAGTATCGAGTGGGGAAGCACTAATAAAGAAAATTATGTATTGCGCAGAACTAGATAGGATAACTAAAAGGTTAAAAAATCAGGAAGAAATAGAATTTTATTGAATATGGAATAAATTTTATAGATGGAGGGAAAAAAATGGAGGTCACAGTAAAGAGATAAACTGAGATAGAGACTAGAAATGTATAGTTGTATATAGGTATATTATATATAATTAATGTACAATATGGACTGAGATGTCAGTCAAAGACGATTTACCATGTTCAATGTTTTTAATCCTTTTTTTTCTTTTTACTTAATAAAAAAAAATTTTTTTAAAAAAAACCCCACAAACATATCAAATGCTGATAGCAATATACTTAAGAACCAGAACAAGAGGGATTAGAACTACATAGATATGTAGATTATATTTTCTTACCAATCCTGCATTGGTTATGCTCTCTGAAATATACTTACAAAAAGACTAGGTACCTATGTAGAAGTACTCTTAGAACATTAAACTATATTTAATGTGCAAAATCAGCAACTCATTTGGAAGAATTTAGAATTTTAGAATTTTTTTCAAAATTGTTTTTGTAGAAGTTTATATTCTTTTTGTATCTTCCACAAATTGGATATATAAATGTTTTCTGATCATTTAATCCGCTAGATAAAGCTGGATTTATTACAATGGTTGTATGTGTATGCTGTGTTTTCCTTTTTCATTTGATTTATTCTTCAAATATTTTGTAATGTATATATGTGGTAAGCTGAACTATTATTTTTAAAAAATGTTTACCTTGAAAAAAATGATAAAGCAGACTACGCCAAATAAACATTATTACTATAGTCAATTTTTAGTGTGAAATTCATTTGCTCAAACATGGAAGCATTGTAACTGCAAAATAACACATTTTTAATATTAATGCAATAAGAATATTATTTTAAAGCCTTAGAATTAATTCCTAGTTTATATTACATTTAGCTTATTTTCATAAGTAATTGTTTGAATAAGTAATTTTGCTTTATTTATAAAATAGATTGCTTCAAAGATTTAAAATATTTCTACTCTTTTGAGCTTTAATAGGAGATTAAATATATTTAGAAAGTATAGCAATAGCTTAATGGGAAAGGATTCCAACCTTCAGAAGAGATAATAGGTACCACTGTGATTTCTATATAAATATTTACCTGATGTTAAGATGATCATACTTTGTGCTAACGGGATCTCATTTTGGTCAACTGCAGTATGTGCTTATTGACTCATACAGTTATTTTTTTGGCTCAAAAATAGCAATTAATCCTATATTTATAAATGACTAACATTAACAGTTTTATTCAAATCATAAAAGCTACCTATACAATTTGCCTCCTGCTGATTTGAACAGAGTCAATGAATCACATTTGAACTTCCTGACATACAAAAAACTCACAGAATCTCAGCAATGTGTTCTGGGAAACATATATTGTCTAGAAAGTGTGACATTATTAGCATATGCGTAACTGTGTTTTGTATGAGTCAGAAATGCGCATGTGTCTTATGATTTGAAGTCTGTGTTCTGCTTCAAAAAGAAACTCCAACACTGGAAGTTTTTAAGAAGACACTGGACAACCATTTGCCTGAAATAGTATAGGCAGTGGTGGGATTCAAATATGTAAAGAACCGGTTCTCTGTGTGGATGCCGCTTCCGGAAGTCTGTTCTGAATCCCTCCACTGGGTATAGGGTTTCCTGCTTGAGCAGGGGGTTGGATTAGAAGACCTCCAAAGTCCCTTCCAACATTTATTCTGTTATCTGTTCTAATTCTTGCTTGTGCATTGAAATCAGCATGTTCCTGCTGCAAGGACAACAGATCATTCTCTGAAGGCATATTTCAAGCATGAACAATATTTGGAAAGATGTGCTTAGCTAATTAATCATTTAAAAGATTATAATCTGATTAACTGTTATTAACTTTATTAAACTAAAAAATCTGCCTAATATTTTCTTGCTCTAATATATTGGCATTCACAAAAACATAATTATGCAGTTTATCGGTATTGTGAATAGCCACATATAACAATACATTACCTCATCAAGACGCTAACAATTGTCAGCATATCATTTAACATTCTATACTAAATTTTCTACAAATATATTTACGGAGATATGGCAGGTTTTGTGTTTGAAAGATTCTCTAGCTATAGCAACAAATGCTGAACCAAACCTTTATAGAATCTTGATTAACTATGACATGCCCTGTTAAGTGAAACTACATCCATTTACTGATGAAACTCTTAATTTATTCTTAGTATATGTGTTTATTGGTGGATCTCTAGCTTATTCTTCGTTACTATCTTTGTGTTAAACATTCAGCTTGTAGAACTGATTGTGGAGGGAACTAGTGGTGCTGAATATAGGTGATCCTCATAATCATAATGGAGCTTGTGCATCACGGTTGCAAGTCATGCCATTTGTAAAATGTATCACCAATATGATCAATCCAATTTTACATACTGTTTTGCAGCAGTCTTTAAGTGAATGTTGTGGCTGTTAAGTGAACCAATGCTTCCCTATAAACCGGTTTTGCTGAAAACTGGAAATAAGTGCCAGTTTTTAGCAAAACTATTAAAATGCAGTCATGTGATTGTGGGATCCTGCAAATGGTCATAAATACAGGCTGCTTTTGTGCCCAACATGCAGTCATAGGACATGGGAGGGGGAAGGTAGCCACTGGATCTTTGGAACTGGATTGTCTGCCATAAATTTGAACAGTCTCTACATCACCACTGGTAAGTTGAGAGCTGTCTGTATTGCTGAACTACAGTTCCTACTATAGCCACTTAAGCAATCTCATCTAAGTGTGCAACAAAATGAAGCAGAAAAATGACTGAAGCAATCCTGTCTTCAGATGCTGACTGGGATCTCTGTTTATTGAAAATGACAAATGAAAAAGCAGGATTCTAGTTAGCATTCTCCTTTTTTTGGCTGTTGTCTCTTTTTTAAAAATATTTTATGTAAGGAAACTTTTTTTTAAAAAAAAATGCTATCCTCTGGTTATCAAATCACATTATGAATCCTGCAGAGATATAAGGAATGCTTCACATTTTATTACAAGTAGAATTTTAGAAATAACATCCTTGTAGCAAAAATAAAAATAGAATTCTAACTTAAAATCCTAACAGTGCAGACACCCAATAGTTTTATGGTTTGCTAGCATCGTAAGGATTGTGCAGTTAACTGCAAAAAGCCTGACATCCTTACACAAATGAGAAAAATAAGACATTTTAAATGTTGCCTTTCAATATAAAATGAGACATGTTAATAAAGGCTTCAGATAAAGATTGCACTTGATATAAATTTTATATATTCAAGTCAAACAAAATCCAATAACTTTATTTTATGCTCAAATTGTAAACATATATTTTCAAGATGGTATAAATTAGTATAATAACCTAACCTAAAAATTACAAAGCAAGTTTATCTCAGAATTAAGGAGTCTGCTTTGTTCCAATTAAGTGACAGCAATACATTTTTAATAATAATAATAACAATAATAATAATAGTAAAGTTGGAAGGGACCTTGGAGGTCATCTAGTCCAACCCCCTGCTCGGGCAGGAAACCCTACACCATTTCGGACAAATGGCTGTCCAGTCTCTTCTTAAAAACTTCCAGTGTTGGAGCATTTACTGCTTCTGGAGGCAGGCTGTTCCACTGATTAATTGTTCTCACTGTCAGGAAGTTTCTCCTTAGTTCTAGGTTGCTTCTCTCCTTGATTAGTTTCCACCCGTTGCTTCTTGTCCTGCCTTCAGGTGCTTTGGAAAATAGCTTAATTCCCTCTTCTTTATGGCAGCCCCTGAGATATTGGAATACTGCTATCATGTCCCCCCTTGTCCTTCTCTTCGTTAAACTAGACATACCCAATTCTAGCAACCGTTCCTTATATGTTTTAGCCTCCAGTCCCCTAATCATCTTTGTTGCTCTTCTCTGTACTCTTTCTAGAGTCTCAACATCTTTTTTACATCGTGGTGACCAAAACTGGATGCAGTATTCCAAGTGTGGCCTTACCAAGGCATTGAAGAGTGGTATTAATACTTCGCGTGATCTTGATTCTATCCCTCTGTTAATGCAGCCTAGTACTGTGTTGGCCTTTTTGGCAGCTGCCGCACACTGCTGGCTCATATTTAACTGATTGTCTACTAGGACTCCGAGGTCCCTCTCACAGTTACTACTATTGAGCATGGTGCCACCTATGCTGTACTTGTGCATTTGGTTTTTCTTGCCTAAATGTAGAACCTTGCTTTTTTCACCATTTTATTCTCTAATCTTACAGGTCATGACACAAAATTTGACCACCTTTTAATTTATGTTCAGATCTGAACTGGCAAGCCAAAAAATAGATATATCATAGATACAATGGAAGGACCATAAAATCAGAACAATGAGAAGTGCTGAATGTACAATTTAGGATATAATTTTTGACTGATTCAACCTCTTCAGAGTTTCAAGGGCAAATTCTCATTATATAGAACTTTCCAAGTAAAACCACCGTGTATATGGCATTGTACTTGGCCAATATGCTAGTTCTTCTGCAACTAAGAATTATTATACTGAATAATCAACTGTTTTCAAGGAACAATTAATTCTATCTAGATTAAAGTGATTTAGAACAACAGTAGTGGCAAATCCATTTGGCAATTCATCTCTGTTGTTTGCTCCAACACATTCTAACTGTAGGGACACAAGTATCTCTAGAAAAAACACATGTAAAGCCTAGTCTCCAAAAGGAAATTAATAAATTGAAATCAGTATAAACAAATCAAACCTAAGGATATTAAATTTCATTTTAATTTAACATTCTAATCCAAATCTTTCCCTTTGTCTTGAAAAGTTCAGTCTTGATTCCAAACTGATGTTGGAGATACAGTTAGCAAATGGAAAAATTGCCTTGAAGCATTTTAATTGGTTTGGTTCCTAAAAGGTATAATTAAGGAATGACAAATTGAATTTAGCGTAACAATGGTGCTAAGGTTTGTGGCTCATTTTTTTTAAAAAAAGGCATTGGAATAAAATAGGCGCCTATGTAAAGTCCTAATTACAGCAACACTGTCTTGGATACTTTAGTCTATGAATTTGGCATTTTTTTTTTGTGGGACCTAGTACAGTGGAAAATAATCCCAAGGTATTCAAAAGCCTGAGCTTCAAATTTATTCAGTTTTGACGCAATTAATACATTATATTTCACTCAAAGACCAAACTCTGAGTATCATCTGAAAAATGTATTGGAACTGGAAGCATTCATAGAATCTATAGCCTTCATCAGAATGATGAATGGATCTCTGTTTCTTACATGCATGCAACATCACAATATCTATACAAAACAGACTGCATGCGCATTCTGGTGCATGCTTCATCATTTCTCAACCTGTTCCAATACAGGTTCCCCCCAGTTGTATCTGTTCTTCAGCTGGATATTATGCAGGATAAATATCCTTTATCATTGCCTTCATTAAAAACAGGAAAATGTTACATTTGTCTCAAAAACAAAGGAGATTTGTTGAAGCAATTCAAAATACTCCATTTACTATTACTACTACCATTACTATTACTACTACTACTACTAATAATAATAATAATAATATCAATTGCCCAGGGTAGCTGGAAGCTTGGTGGCATATATATTTTACTATACATGCCATCAAGCTTCTAGCCACCCTGGGCAATTGATACTATTATATATAATTATACTATCTGATAACTTAATAAACATAAAGAGATTCTAGCTTTTCAAATCAGATGACTTAAAAAAAACATATAAAAATATAATTTATACCTTTTCATGAATTTTTTGTCCAGGCTCCATTCCTTTGATATGCTCTGTATCAGGTGGACCCTCTCCGGATGTAATTTTTCTTTGAATGTGTGCATTTTGTTCACGCAAAGCTATAATCTAGAAAAGAATTTAGAATAAATTCTTAATGTAAAATCCATACAGTTAACACCATAAATTTACAATATAAATATATCTTATAAATCAGTATACAATAACTAGATAATGTGATCAAAAATGGTAAACAAAATGTGATGTTTATATTTTCCATATATGTTATTTCATTGTGAAGAAATGCAACTATTGTACAACAGTGGCAAGAATTCCAAAAGTTGATTTGTAATTCCCAGCATTCCTCAACATTAGCCTCAATAGCTTTCTGTTGGGGTAACAACTCACTAATATAAAGAAAGCCAGATGTTTTTCTCATTGCAAAAATATATTTAAAAACACATCAAATTTTATTATATTCTATGAAACAGTGCAATGAGAATAGTAAAATCTGTGAAGCCATGAAATAGGATATGCTAGTACATTGAATTTAGAATACTAAATTCTATAGTTATAATGCAATTTATATAAGTATTTCAGAACATAAATGTGCATAATTTTAAATAAGTGCAGCTTAAATGATGCATTACAAGCTGGAGGTTTAATGTGCTTGGCACATTTCTTAAACTAGACTCTAACTAACTGCCCAGATAATTAACATTACAGATAAAAGAACTGGTGCCTTATAACACATCTATGATTTGACAGATTTCCTGTATGTTATAAATGTGATTTAATTCATATTTCAATAACACATGTTATTTGTGTGAAAATTAAAACAAAAGTGAGAGGTTTTAAAGGCAAAGATGCTAGCTATGCCACAACACAAAGTATTCAGGTTCAATGTCATGAAGTGCACTGTGAGAAGTCCAATGAAAAGTGGGATAGGCAGGGGAAAAAGCAACAAGTGGTGGAGATGACATGGCAAACAATTATTAAATATGGCTTCATCTAATCACCAGTACAGTTCTTATTTAACTGGGCTATTTTGAACATCTGAGAGACTAAAACCAAGTTTGAGCCTTGCAGTTTAATTAAGAAGTATAAAGTCCAGGGCCTGTGATTTACAGCTGAATCCAGGTCCAGACAGCTTGACAGTTTATACTAAAATGGAAATTGCCACAACATTTAATCCTTGGAAAAGGTCGTATCCATTATGCATGCAAAATACAGAGGATTTCTTTTATGGTCTACAAAATATTTCAATCTGAAAAGGAGTTATAAATGTCTTGAACACAGAAGGCCACATTCTGGACATTGTCCCAAGGTTTGTTTCAAAATTCTTGCAAGCTCTAATTCAATTGAAGTTTCTCACTTGATATGACAGAGCTAAATAAGACTGCAGAATCTGCCAATTTAGTTTTGTTAGCTTTATTTCATATCTATGACTTAAGAAGGAAAGTAATACTCAATCAGACCAAGTCTGATCAATATCAGAATGCTCTCACTTAAGAACCAAAAGGGAACCCGCAAGCGCAATATGAATGCAACAACATTCTCAGTTATGTTCCCTGGCAACGAGAAATATATTGCCTCTGTAATTACAGGTAATATTTTATGTAATGTATATATACATATTATTTTGCACATAAGCATATTTTTCCTTTGAGTCAGTCTTGACTCCTGGAAACTACATGGATAAATCTTTAAGTTTTCTTGGCAACATTTTCAGAAATGGCTTTCCATTGCTTTTATCCATCTGGACAAAGAAACGTCTAGAACTTTGTTTCTCTGCTCCTAGTTCAGTGCCTTACTAATAGACCAAACTGATTATCACCTTATGGAATCAAAGAGTTGAAATGAAACTCATAAGTCATCTAAACCAATCCGTGCTTAGTGAAGGAACTGCTGAAATATTTTGGACAGATGGTCATCTAATCTCTGTTTAAGGACTCTCAGTAAAAAGGAACACAAAACTTCATAAGGCAAACTACAGTATTCTGGCTGGCAGTTCTCACTGTAAAACAGTTTTTTCTAATCTGAATTTTTTTACCTGTAGTTCTCCAGCATGATTAGATGGAGAACCCATGGATGGGTTGTCTTAATCTATCTGCTCCAATTAGACTAAGTCTGAAATTTAGTACCACCCCCTCTGTGCCAACTGCACCCCAGTTTTAGATTTAGTCTCTTTGCTCTAAGACACGTTTTTTCTTCGCTCCTGGAGCAGAAGACTTTGTATTTCCTTTTTTCTTATTCCTGTTAGCTTAGTTCTAACTCATTTTCATTAATTTGATTTGACAATATAAATATAGGTGTTATGTCCCGAGCCTTGCAAACGGGCTCGGGGCATTTGCAGGCAGTCCCGGGTAGGTGCAAGCTGCCCGGGACCAGACAGGCTGTCGCCAGCGCCTGTGCGCATGCGCGGGTGCTGGCGCGGGAAAAGTAACACATTGACCCGGGAATTGCCTATATAAGAGGCTGGGAGCTTTTGGGCGTTGCTGAAGCCTTCACCTGTAAGCTGAACACAGAATAAAAGAAAACCTGAGAACTACAACTGCTTCTCGTGTCTGCTTTTCGCCAAGGACTCAACACTGGCGACGAGGATGGGATGCCTTACATCGTCTGGAAAGGAAGAGGTGTAAGCTTACCCAAGTGAGTCCTGAGCGGCGGAACGGAGTTGACTCAACAGCTACCCGCCAATCCAGTGCGCATTCGGGGGTAGGCTGGCTGATAGACCCGTCTCCTGAAGATGGCAAAGGTTGGAAGGCTTTCGGAGTTCGACGTCTCACATCCAGAGCGGTGGGAGTCCTACGTAGCCAGGGTGGAAAATTACCTCAAGGCGAACCAAGTGAGGGAAGATAGCTTGAAGGCTGCCACCCTGCTTTGTGTCTGCGGCCAAGACGCCTTCGAAATCGCAGAGAACCTTGCAGCACCTGTTTCATTAGAGTCTGTCAGCTACGCAGATCTAAAGAAGCTATTGAAGGAGCACTTCCAGCCCAAGATGTCCGTCATCGCATGGCGCCACACCTTCGAGCAGAGGGATCAACGATCCGGAGAGTCGGCCAAAGAGTACATCGCCGCATTGAGGAAGGCCGCCAAGCACTGTGAGTTCAAGGACCTCGAAGAACGACTGAGGGACCGATTCGTGTGCGGCTTAAGGCATCGAGATTTACAACAGAGGCTTTTCGCCAAAGAAGTCTTGTCCTTCCAAGATGCCTTAAGAGAGGTCACCGCAGAAGAAGCAGCAGGCGGCGCCGTCAAGAACATGCGGCCAATCAGGAACAGTCCAGATGTTGCATCCGTGCACCAAGAGGACGTCCAAGGGAACTCCGAGGAGGATCCGGACGAGGAAGTCGACCGTCTCCACCCCACGAAGGAAGGGAATCAGAAAGGAAGCTCTTCAGCTCCCCTCAAGTGCATCGGCTGTGGAGGTCGCCACAGGAGAACCGACTGCAAGTTCCGCTCCGCTATCTGCCGGGCGTGCGGAAAACAAGGACATATTGCAGCTGTGTGTCTGGGCCGACGAAAGGTACAACCTCAGGAAGAACTGCGCCTGAAAGGTACCAGGGTCCCCAGCCAGAATAGGGTAGGTTTTTGCGCTTCGCGAAGAAGCATCTTCAGGACAAGCACACACAAGCCCATCAAGAAAAAGCTGTCACTCAAGGTGAAGCTACAAGGGGTTCCATTAACTATGGAACTAGACACGGGGTCTGCCCTTTCAATCATATCCTTGCATACATTTAGGAAGATTTGTTCCGGCAGTGGAACTCAGGCTAAATTAAGGCCTTCTGACATTGTGTTAACAGACTTTCAAAATTCGAGAGTGTGTGTTAAGGGGGAGGCCACCCTTAACGTACAGTATAAGAATTTTGAAGGTCCACTAGACCTATTAGTAGTAGGGGGTGAACGAACGAGTCTCATAGGACTCGATTGGTTTGAAGCCTTGGGGATACACGTCACGGGGCTCAACAGCTTACAAACACTCGACCTACAGGAAGTCTGCAAAGAATTTGCAGATGTCTTCAGCCCCCAGCTGGGCACATTCAAGGGACCCCCTGTGTCCTTAAAACTAGACCCCACTGTCACTCCCATTAGAATTAAAGCAAGAAGGGTCCCTTTTGCTTTAAAGAGTAAAATTGACACTGAGTTAGACAAACTGATCCAACAGGGAATTCTAGAACCTGTTGATTCCAGCCCTTGGGAGACCCCCATTGTCACGCCTCTAAAGGCAAATGGGGACATTCGCATTTGTGCTGACTACAAATGCACTCTTAATAAGGCATTGCAGCAACATGCCTATCCTGTTCCTGTGGTCAGTCATATTCTGGCCTCCCTCAAGGGGGGGGCGCGTTTTTGCAAAGCTTGACCTAGCTCAAGCGTATCAACAGCTGCCTGTTGATGATGATGCTGCTATAGCTCAGACTATTGTGACCCACAGGGGAGCCTTTAAGGTAAAAAGGCTACAGTTTGGAGTGAATGTCGCTCCTGGGATTTTCCAAAGCGTAATGGAAAACACACTACGGGGCATACCGGGGGTTTGCCCCTACTTTGATGATGTCTTAATTGCAGGAGACTCCACACACATTCTAGCTGAAAGGCTAAGGGCTGTTCTGTTAAGATTCAGGAAAACAGGCCTCAAGCTCAAAAAAGACAAATGCAAAATTTGGGTGCCTTCTACTGAATTTCTGGGATTCAAAATTGATGCTGCTGGGATTCACCCTGCTGAATCCAAACTAACTGCCATTTTAGAAGCACCTAGGCCAAAGTCTAAGGCCGAACTTCAGGCCTTTCTGGGCCTCCTGAATTTCTACAATTCCTTTCTTCCACATAAAGCTAGTGTAGCTGAGCCTCTTCACAGGCTATTAGACAAACAAGCAGTGTGGCAGTGGTCACAAACACATGAGGCTAGTTTCAATGAGGTCAAGGCCTTACTCACTTCTAACAGTGTACTTGCACACTTCAATGAGTCCCTTCCTGTGTGCATCGCTTGTGATGCTTCCCCTTACGGGGTAGGAGCCGTCCTGAGCCACCTCAGGTCTGATGGAACTCAGGTTCCTGTTGCATATTACTCCAGAACACTGTCTTCTGCTGAGTGCAACTACGCTCAGATAGACAGGGAGGCTCTGGAT